CCAAAAATATTACTAAAATGAAAATTATTAATTATTAAAAATAGTAATATTGTTTGGGAATTTTGAACTAATTATGAAAATAATTTATTTATTTTGGTATGATTTATAATAAAATAAAATGAAATTATTAGTTATAAACAATAGGTAATATACCATTCAAAGTAAATGGGTCAGATTAATAAAAACCAAACCATACCTGATCCAACAAACCACATCACTTTAGTTAAATGGATCGAATAGAGAGAGAGAGAGAGAGAGAGAGAGAGAGAGAGAGAGAGAGAGAAATAGTTTTAAGAATGCTTTTATTAAGGAGATGTCTCAATAGAATAATAATGCTCTTAGGAGAGAGTTGAGCTAGTTAAGGAGAGTAGTTATTTGGGTAGAGAGAGGTTTTTGATAAAATATATTGAGCTAATTAGGAAATGGAGATAAGAGGGTGTTGAATTGGCTTAATAGGAGTGGTGGGAAGGGGAGAGTAGAGAGAGTCAAGGAAAATGCAGGGTTGGGGTAATGGAGCAAGGAGAGGCATGGCAAGGTGGACCGTCGTGCTATATATATACTAGCGGGGACCCATGCAATGCATGTGAAAATGTGACATCTAATTTGATGACAAAAAAGTATCAAAATGATTTATTAATTATTTACATGAGGACTCATGAGATGCATGGGATTTGTCAATGGAAGGTAAAACAACAAAAACTGATAAATATTATAAGGAATGCAATGTTGTTGAAAACATTTAATCTTTATTTAATAATTTGTTGCAAAAATAATTTAGTAATATAGTAATTTAGATTAATTATTAATATTTTAACAAAAATAATTAATTATTCATAATTATTTAATAAATAATTATTTTTTACATATTATTTGTTAGTTTTATATTTTAACAAAAAAGATCAAAAGAAAATCCAAATTGTTGGCCACTAGAAAATTAATTTCAACAAATCTTGATTTCTTTTAAGTATTTTTAATAGTTTTCAATTAATATTCAGAATAATTTTGCAATTGCGGTATTTCCAGTATTTTTTCATTAATTTTCAGCAGTTCTGAATAATTTTTAGTAATTTTTGCATTTTCAATAGTTTTTCAACAATTTTCAGTTATTTTCAATAATCAAAATGTGCATTTTCATAATTACCGTGGGTTTTCAGTATTTGTTTCATTAATTTTTAGCAAAAATGAATTTATGAGTAAATTTTGAATAATCTTTATTAAATATTCAAAAATTTCTATTTGATTTTTAATAAATTTTCACTGAAAATTTAATTTCAGCAAAAAGTAATTTATGATTACATTTTCAGTATTTTAATTAATTTTCAATAATTCTCAGTAATTTTTTATAGTTTTTACTAATCTTTCAATAATTTTCAGTTGGAAATTAACTTTTTTTGTCTTTTCAATATTTTTCATTAATTTTTTGTTAGTTTTGAAATTTCACTAATAAAAATATTCAGTTAAATTTCAATAATTTAAGTTGGATTAATTATTAATATTTTTAACAAAAATAATAAATTGTTGACGATTATTTGAAAATAATTATTTTTACATATGATTTGTTATTGTTATATTTTATGACAAAAAAAGATCAAAAGGATATCCTAATTGTTGGCACTAGAATATTAATTTCAACAAATCTTTATATCTTTTAAGTATTATTTATTAGTTTTCAATTAATTTTCAGAATTTTTTTGCATTTTCAGTATTTCCAATATTTTTTCATTATTTTTCAGTAATTCTCAATAATTTTTAGTAATTTTTGTATTTTTAATAGTTTTTCAACAATTTTCAGTTATTCTCAATAATTTTTAATAATCAAAATGTGCATTTTCATAATTACTGTGGGTTTTCAGTATTTTTTTCATTATGCTTCAGCATTTTTTCATTAATTTTTAGCAAAAATGAATTTATGAGTAAATTTTGAATAATCTTTATTAAAAATTCAATAATTTCTTGTTAATAAATTTCCAGCAAAAAATTAATTTCAGCAAAAAGTAATTTATGATTGCATTTTCTGTATTTTATTAATTTTTACTAATCTTTCAATAATTTTTAGTTGAAAATTAACCTTTTTTTTGTCTTCTTAGTATCTTTTAATTAATTGTTTGCCATTTTTGCAATTTCACTAGTAACAAATTTCAGTTAATTTTCAAATAAAACATTAATCTAAAAATTAATTTTCAGTATTTCCTAATTAATTGTTTGTCATTTTTCAGTATTTTCTAATTAAATTTCAGATTTTCAGTATTGTCAATAGAGCTGGTTTCTATCAAATACTATTGTTAAACTAACAAGTTTAATAATATTGGTTGTAATTATTATAAATTTAAGTTGGTTGTAGATATATATAGATGACCTGTATTATACACGGGTCATGGAGGACCCATACAGTACACGGGTTGGGAGTTGGGACAGATGGCCCGGCGGTTCAAATTAAGGTTTATCGAAAACGGGTCACAACATACCCATTTCGGTTGTCTTCTTCGCCTGAATGGTAAAACGGGTCACACATCGACCCGGTTAGTTTTATTCTTTATTTTTTTTTGTGTTTTTAGTTGTTTTTTTTCTAAAAAAGGGGTTGGCCTCTTACATGATGTTTGGAAGTGTTTGAGAGCCGAAAATCTGCAAACGGAGAGAGGCTGTGAGAATTGGGTTTGAGACTTTGAAAAATGTTGGTTTTGAGAGATTGTGAGAGTTGGGTTTGAGACGTTTGAAAATGGAGAATTTGAGAGTCTGTGCTATGAGTTGGTTTTGAGAATCTAATGTATAGTTTTGAAATGTTTGGTCTCCAAAAATGTTTTGGGAATCAAAACATAATTATGTCCAATTTTAATCATATTTTTGAAAAATAAAATAAATAAAATCTAAAAAAAAAAGAATGCAGAAAAATGGGTTCTCAAAGCAACAGAAGAGGAATAAAATGCACTCTCAAGTTAACTACATTGCGATAATGTGCAAAGTCAGGACATTGCGGTGTAGTGTATCTATCTACAAATCAAGTCGTTTATTACAATTTAAATCAAATCAGGTATCCAATAAGATATTCAAATTCGAATTCAAATCATAATTTTGAAAATTCGATGGATTCTTATTGGATTCGGATATTTTTACGAATACCCATCCAATCCAATCCATTTACAACCGTATGGCAAAGCTTTTGGCTTTTTAAGGTGGCCTTATATAAATAACCTTTAAGCTATACACCTCTGTATTGGCACTTTGAATGATACTTCCCTCCATTTACTTAGTTTTTTTTTTTTTTTTTTAAGTTTTAGTTTCAATATATATATTAAAAAAGGATCATTTATTAGAACATCATCTATAGTTTTATAGTTTTATGGATTTAATTAAATCTACCATATAGTTTGCATTTTACTAAAGCACTCCCTATATAGTCTGCAACCTATTTACTTAATGAACCTTTCATTAAGAACTCTTTATTTTGCCATTTGATAATAGTAATATGATCACTTAAATTAAGTGGACAATGTTTAATAGCATGGACCCATGGTTGTTTATTCAAAAAATACCCCTAAACTGTGTGAAAATGTTAAAGGGAATGGATCCATGGTTGTTTATTCCAAAAGTACCCCTAGCACTTTTTGCATAGAAAACAAAATTGATCAAATAGAGAAAATATAGTGGTTGTCCATGTTTTATTAGGGGCAAAAATGACATTTTTGTTTTTTTATTTATTTTGATTAAATTTATTTGAATGGTTGTTAGGGTTCAAACTGTCATTTTCCACTTTGATCTAATAGAAGGTCAATTAAGTAAATAGATTGCAAACTAAAGGGGATGTTTTAGTAAAACACAAACTATGGGGTAAGTTTTAGTAAATTCATGAAACTATAGACAGTGTTTTAGTAAACAGGTGTATCGGGAACCAAATGTATCACAAGATTTTTAAAACTGATCCGGACAACAAACCAGTCAAGGGTCCGATTTCTGGGTCAAATGGTCCAACCATTCAAACCGAATGGACAGCCCGTTCTGTCAAAAAATAAAAAACCGGCTAAACCGTTGAATGATTCGACCACCCAAGTCAACTTACTGACCAAATCAACAGTTTTTTAACAAGTAACGGTTCTGGGGTAAAACAGAACCAATCACCTAACTGGTTCTCAATTTTTCCGGTCCAATCCGGTTTTAAAAACCATGATGTATCATATCGAAATTTGTATCCTTAATTCAGTCACTTTATATAATTTCGAGAGCGTCTCTAAGCAAATGAACCAGTTGAGCTGAATGTTCAGCTGAACCCTCCTAAAACGAGTTGGGTTCTCCTGCAAACAGTATACGTCCCAAGTCCCAACACCCTACCAATATCTCATACATGGTGGATCCCAATTCCATGGTGAGATATGCGTTTGTATTCAAATAGATTTTCTCTCCTATACAATGAGTCAATGAACACAATCGCAATGAATCTGGAGTATATAGCCGACTGGGTTATCCTGAATCTGATGTATCCCTTGAAAAGCCATAAGCCGCTGCGCTTTAGCACCTCCCAGAACGAACATACTCGTGAGCGCGGATCAGCTGCACACTCATTCTGTCATTCAATATCTAACAGCTGTCCCATTGCATTCGTAACGCTCAAAAGGAATAAGGATGGCTAGCCTGGCTCCACGTCAATGATCAATGTTTGTGCCGTACTTTTGTCCTAAGACGAAAATTTTACTTGACTTTTACATCAAAGAACATCAAAATATTCAAATCTTCTACATTCTAATTGTAGACCATGTGAAGGAGACCGTCCAGCGATTTTAACTGAATGTCGTGGTTCTCTCTGCACGGGAAGCAGGGAAGACCATGGAAACATGAGCTGAGCACAGAAAGCACCGTGCGAAGAACGACCCACCACGTTCACAAGCTGCGCCTCCCACTCCTGCATTCTCAGCCACTAAAAAAGATTGCAATTATACAATAACAAAGAAAGAAAGGATATTAACAGAGTTTGAGCTGAGTGCTGAGATTTGGATAATAACATAATAAAAAAATGTAAACATTATTTTCTGAGCCAATATTTCTCTCCACGTAAAAAATGCATGGTCGCGAAGATGGCAGTCCTCCCAACTAGAGACTAGAGAGTTCATAAACCTCCTCTCTCCTCTCTTCTTCCTTGACTAGAGTTCCCGGCCGGGATCAACTGTACAAGAAAAAAGATGCTCAGACTACAATATGTTTCTTGCCACATAATATCTGATGTCAAGCCCACTACGATTGGAAGCAATCCAGGTTCTTGGCTCCTCCGGCTTGGGGGCATTCGATATCCATTGCGTTTGATTCGCGTCAAGGCCTTGAAAGATGAGAAAAATGGTGGTGGAAGTGGATTTGCAGGTAGAAAATGGGATCCTGGGCTGGAAATTGAAGTTCCTTTTGAGCAGAGACCTGTAAGTATGGAGTGCCCTGAACCATTTGTAACCACTCTGTAGTCTGTGCAACTACTTAATAGATGGATGTAAGTCTATCACTCTTAAGTATTATACTATTACCTTTAAATTTTACAGTGGCAATATGGGAGGATGAACTGAAAGCATCAGTTTTTGTTTTGGTTGATTTTAAACGGATTGAATAGATGTAAATCTGTCTAGAACAATATGATCAGTGTCAAGTGATTATTCTACCAAGCAATTTCGTAGAAATAGAATGCTAAAGAGACTCAAAGTAAACTGAAAACCTTTGTACAGTTACTCTGTTAGGTGAGGTCCTGATTAGGTTTTTATTTTCTAACATGTCCCCTCACCATTGGCCTGCCTATACTTGTGCCGAAATTTAATTAATTAAAATGGGGCAATGAGGATCGAACACTATACCACTTGGTTAAACAGGTTCTGATACCATAGACTCAAAATAAACTGAAAGACTTGTGTATCTCGTTTCTATTAATGATATATATACTATTACATTGAGATAAAGTTACAACAGCAAGAAATTTAAACTCAAAAAATGGTTACAACATGTTCGGTTGGAGCCCAATGCTTATCCATATTACGTTGGTGATGTGGCTGAAGAGTTATCCTTAACAAATGCCAGTATAATCAAGACATGTAGAAGAGTGACAAACTAAAACCACATGATCAAAAATATAAGTCGTCTGAGAAGTGTTTTTCAAATGGGACCTTATGTTAAGCAATGGCTTAAATTTGAAAATTTAGCTGATTCCTATCTGATTTGTCCAGTAAAATACCATAATTATCTGATTTGTCCAGTAAAATACCATAATTTCTATTCATTGAAACCCAACTCCTCTAAAAACTACATACTAAATTTTGTTCTATGATGTGTATGAACACATGAAGACTGTGAACAGAAATCCTCTTCCCCCCAAAATAAATTGTATTAGAAAGTAAGTGATATTCCTAGCCTCCCTTCCTGAAGCAGGTGTCAGACTTCAAACAACTAATTGATGCTCTGTATGCATATATTATCATGCATTCATACTTACAGTTACCTGGTCTTATAACAGGTAAATGAGTACTCAGCTCTGAAGGATGGACCATTATATTCATGGGGCGAACTGAGTCCAGGGTCTTTCTTCACACGTCTTGGAGGTCTGTGGTTAGTAGCTTTTACAGTTCTGGGAGCACCAATAGCAGCTGCAAGCTTTAATCCTTCTAGGGTAAGCTGAAAATGAAGACACTCTCCTGCTACAATAGAATGCCAAGTGGGAACAAAATATTTTATCTGGAAAATTGCATCTTCAATATTTATATTTCCATATCTAATTATTGTAATCTAAAAAGCTTACAAAATCTCAAATAGTGGTCAATTGATTCTAACCAGTAGATAGGATGATATAGGATGTAGATGGTATTGATTCCAAACCAGGCAAACTCTATGAAATGGTATCATCCTTCACCCTTAAGGAGGTGATGTCCATCATCTACAATTACCATATAAAGTCTAACATATATATTAAAGTAGAGCCCTCGTGCAGGTCTTCTTCAACAAACATGTGGCTAGCCTCCCACTGAGAAAAAGGAGCAAATAAATTTTAACTCAGATTAAAAAGTCACAGGTCTTCTTCATCAAACATGTGGCTA